CAGTTGCTGGAATTGGATATACCTAGTTTAATGAAAAGAAGGACTAGGAGTGACATGATAGCAGTGTTCCAATATCTCAGGAGTTGCCACAAAGAAGAGGGAGTCAAGTAATTCTCCAAAGCACCTGAGGGTAGGACAAGAAGCAATGGGTGGAAACTAATCAAGGAGAGAAGCAACTTAGAATTAAGGAGAAATTTCCTGACAGTTAGAACAATTAATCAGTGGAACAACTTACCTCCAGAAGTTGTGAATGCTCCAACACTGGAAGGTTTTAAGAAGATGTTGGATAACCATTTGTCTGAAGTGGTCTAGGATTTCCTGCCTAAGCAGAGGGTTGGACTAGAAGACCTCCAAGGTCCCTTCCAAATCTGTTATTCTGTTAGAGAATACACATATTAATATGCTGGTGCCAATAATTTTAATTGGGCACCCTCTTACCTGGGTAAAGTTGAGAAGAGGGGGAAAGTGGGTTGGCTACTACTTTCTAGCCAACCTTGGAGACTTCCAAGGTCCCTTCCAACTCTGTTATTCTATTCTATTCTATTCTATTCTATTCTATTCTATTCTATTCTATTCTATTCTATTCTATTCTATTCTATTCTATTCTTCTAATCAAGGAGAGAAGCAACTTAGAACTAAGGAGAAATTTCCTTAGTTAGAATAAGAAATATGATTTAAGAAGTAAACAAACATCTGTTAGTGAATGCATCTTTATGAATAATCATAATAGGATGACCATTACAGGAAAGAAAAGAATCCTCAAGATTCTTCCTATAAAAGAAAATACAGCTCCTAGGTCAGTCGGGAAGATAAGATAACCTCTAAACCTTTTTCTAACTGTTTCTAACAATGGCATAGGGAACAATGATGTGAACCAGTGATTAAACTAAGAATTTTTCTCACTTATCCTCTCTTCACCCGTGCAAGGAAGACTCTATAGGAACCCTGATGGTTGTCTGATTACAAGGTCATTCCAGTTTGAAGGAAAACCTGTCACACTGATTCCCACACTCCCCATTGAATAAGAGTTTTTCATGCAAAAACACTTCCACACCTTCCACACACTCTCCCAAAATGGTGACTTGTTTCTTTCAGTTTCCTCTTGGTGTGGAGTAAATCTTTTGGAGGCTGGGCTTCACTGAGAATCTGGTTTGTGGACAAAACAAATTATAGACATTAGTCCTTTCTTAAAAGAGTTAAAGACTACTCTGAATGACCTGAATCTATGCAATATTTAAGGTTTGTGCCAAGTATAAGCATAGAGTAGAGTAGAGTAGAGTAGAGTAGAGTAGAGTAGAGTAGAGTAGAATAGAGTAGAATAGAATAGAATAGAATAGAATAGAATAGAATAGAATAGAATAATAACTTTATTGGTTATGGTTGTGATTTATTTCTTATTTCACCATGGGTCATTCCAGGATGAGCTATAAAGAATAAGCAACTTCTTAGGAAAGTCCTGTGCTGATGAGAGTGAATGGGTTGTTTATTCTGTGAGAAGAAGAATAACGAAAGTCCCACGACTGTGTATATTTTCAAATGTAAATAAAATCCCTTTTGCCCTTAACTGGAAGATTGGATTTATATTTAAATTATTCTAATTAGAATACACACATAAATCTGCCGGACATAAATTCTCCAGCGCAGAATCTGCTCTGCTAAATGGGAGATCAGGTTTCTAGCAAACTATATGCTGATGATAATGGTCGATGGAAGGCAAGGGGGACCATTTCTTTGTGAAGAGGCAAAATAGTTTTTGACCCCGCAAATGTCCATTGGGGTGCAAGCAAGTAAATAAAAGCAGTATGTGGAGCTTCTAAAAATCATGCACTGCAAAATTCTTATTTCATCCTTTTCAGCCAAATGACTCTGTGGTGTCTTGATTGCTTTTTTACTGGACTGATTCTTCAATCCATCACTGGGAGCCAAAAGTGGCAGGCAGTTAGTATCCCTCATTAAAACAATTTGTTATTCCGAGCAGGAGATCCAGCCCTCACAAACCATTGATTACCCAGAGCAAGAATGACAGTGAAGTCAGAATGAAATTCGAGCATCTCTGGGACAAAATTATGCTTAATTATTCATCCATCAAACAATGCTAATTGTAGCCAACCAGGCTGGCATGAAAACATACTGGTGACTGTGTACCTTCTATTGATCTATCCAACTTAATGTTATTTTTCTTTCCTTCCTTCCTTCCTTCCTTCCTTCCTTCCTTCCTTCCTTCCTTCCTTCCTTCCTTCCTCCCTCCCTCCCTCCCTCCCTCCCTTCCTTTCCCTTCCCTTCCCTTCCCTTCCCTTCCCTCCCTTCCCCATCTCACCTAAATTACTCTTCCCAAAGAAAATCCACCATTATTGCCAGTGCCTCATTATGCAAGTAAGATTCAGGCCGTTGAAGAAGTTTATAAAAATGAGAATGGTGCCAGTGTAAACTGAAAACATCATCAATCAAAACATGCAGACATTATGACAACCCCGAGGAGTGCTAACAACCTTTTGGCATGCATTATTTCTGGATGATCAAAAGGGGTGTCAAAGTAATAACTTGAATCAATTATAACTCTCAAAATTATAATAATCAAGATAATCAAATACTATGTCAGCAGTGCCAGCATTTCTGGATATAAAAAGCAGCACCAGCATAATCAAAATAGCAGAACTAACAGCCACATACACATATGCAACAAATAATCAAAGATGACGTTAACATCAGTTCAGTGATTTAAAACAAAACAAAACTTTCAAAACATATTCAGGAAAGTTCCCTCCCCCCTTTTAAATTAAGAAAGTGAATATTAGGTAAGGGAGGACTCCAATGTTTATTTCTCTCTGTCGCAAAAATCTGTCTTATTTCTTTCTACCAATTGCTCCCAGTTCTTTTGCCAGCTGCGCTAACCCATAAAAGGGAATTCTCTATTGTGGTCCAACTTTGCTTGGGGAGCTTTGATAAGGGAGCTTTGTAAAAAAAAAAAAAACTCTTTGGAAAAGCCAAGGAAACAAGGAGTAAAAGAAAACACGTTTCCATATGCTTTATGACACTCCCCAAGAATTCTAAAAGGTTACCGAGAAAGTATTTACTTTTGCAGAAGTCAAGTTGATTTTGATTCAGCAAGTCATGTCCCTTTAGTATGCTTGCTGTGTTTACTTTTAATGCAGCTTTGTTCCAACATTATTGGAACAGATGTTAAGCTAACTTGTGGCCTGACTTGTGATTTCCTGGATGTCCACAGATCCTTGTTTTGAAATTGGCATCATACCAGCCATTCATTGGTCCTATGATGAAGGATCAATATTAGAGGCATCATATATTTTTGTTGGGAATACTCACAGTGTCACCTTTCACCACCATCTTCTCTAGAGCTTATTGAATGCTATCGAGAGGCAGGCTTTTATTTACTTTCAGTTTAACAATCAGGCATTATGGTGACAATCCATATTGTCACCTTATTTGTTTCAATTTCTTAGACTCCTAGGGAACCCCACCCCCACCCCCACAAATATTTGCAGCTTCTTGTTAGCAGAATTTAACATCCTTCCTATAAAGCAGAAATCCGCACATCTTCAGCTTGCTGAGGTTGGGAACCACTGCTATAAACTATTTTGATTGAAAAGTCCAATTAAAATACTTCACATCTCTTCCCAGAATCATCTTGGAGGTCTTATACCAGCACTCCTTATTTATTTATAGTCCAAAATCAAGTCACAAAACTTAAGGTACAATGCTCTATTAATGTTTAAAAAGGTAAAGGTTTCCTTGTCCAATTGTGTCCAATTCTAGCGCACAGTGCTCATCTCCGTTTCTTAGGCGAGGGAGCCAGTGTTGTCCGTGGTCATCTGGCCAGCATGGTTATACATCAAAGGCGCACAGAACACTGTTTCCTTCCCACTGAAGTGGTACCTATTAATCTACTTGCATTGGCATGCTTTTGAACTGCTAGGTGGGCAGGAGCTGGGGCAAGAAACAGGAGCTCACCCCGTTGGGCGGTGCTTGGGTCTCAAACCTGGGCTGTCAGCTGACAAGCTCAGCGTCTTAAACCATTGAGCCATCGTGCCTCTTTAATGCTTACATATGTAATAATGCATATTGCCGTGATGGTGAACCTATGGCACGCGTACCACAGGTGGCACGCGGAGCCATATCGGTGGGCACACGAGCGTTGCCCTAGCTCAGCTGCAGTGCACATGTGCACGCCGGCCATCTTATTTTTGGGCCTTCTGGCCCACCGGAAGTCGGCAAACAGGCCGTTTCTGGCCTCTAGAGGGTTTCCGGGGGTGGGGTGGGGAAGGCTGTTTTCACCCTCCCCAGGCTCCAAGAAAGCCTCTGGAGCCTGGGGAGGGCGAAAAACCGGCCTACCAGGCCCATCGTGCCATCACGTGCCAAAAGTGGGGGGGGGGCGGGGGGGGTCATGGGGGGTGGGGAGGGCACATTGAATTATGGGTGTGGGCACACACACGTGCGACTTCCTGTACTCTCCCCATTTTTGGCACATGACAGCAAAAAGGTTAGCCATTACTGGCATATTGCATGATAATATGGACATATATAAGAGGAAAAAAAGTAGCAATTCATTGGAGGCACCAAACAATTTCTATAAGCTAAAAGTATAAATACAAATGTTGCTACTGTCTTCAAAACAACCAGTCATTTAGTCATTTAGTAAGGATACCTCAATCTTCTTCTAAATGAGTGGAGTCTTCTGAAGAGGGTGTTGTCAGGTTCCAAGTAATGCATCCATTGTAAATTGAACTCTGAGGCATTCCTGTTTTTCAAAGTATTTAGGTACATCATATTGGCACTAACTGATGAAGAGCCAGTACTAACATTCCCAGGCTTTTCACTTCAATATAAGTTTTCAGTTTCTCAAGTTTCCAAAACATTGATCGCATTGTCCAACCAGGATGGGAGCTGGTTGCTCAGCAACATCTCTCCTTCTTCTTCTCCGGTCAGCCAGACAATGGAATGTGACTGACTCATCAGTTAGGAATGAAGTTTTGACTGAAGACCCCATCCCCCTCCAGTTCCAAACTATGTCAAGCTGAATTCGCGCTAGGATGTCCAAGGATACAAACAACCCCACACCCCAATCAAATTCAGGCTTGACAGGCTGCCCCCCCCCTCAACAGAAGGAACAACCCTGGAAAGGTAAAACATTGTGGGGTTAGCTCTGATTGCCAATGAGAGTACAGTGGGAACTTTAGAAGGATGTGTGAAATAGACCAAACCCCTATATTTGAGCCCCTAGTTCATGCAGGGACAAAATTGTTCCCCCACCAGCAAGCAAATTTGTTGGTTTCTAACTTATGTATTACTTAACTTTTCAGACATTGAAAAGGGTGAGAATTCTGAAAGTTGAATTTCGCACACCTGGAGCCTGATAGAAATTATTCTGTTAAGAATTTGAAGATAAATTCTTGGACACCCGTCAGCTGAACTATAGTAATGTGTTCTAAATTATAGTCTGTGAAGACCACTCAGAAGTTACAGTTGCTTTAGAATGCAATGGCTTGAGTAGATATGGGTGTGACTCATTTCAACCATAGGGACCAATTCTTTTGGAACTACTGAGCTTCTGAATGCAATTCAAGTTGCTGTTTTCCATCTTTAAATCCTACATGGTTTAGCATATGTCCATTTTAGAGACTGTCTACTTCCAGTAGCATCTCCCCATCCATTAAGATCAGAAAGAGAGGACTTATTCTGGGTCTCAACCCTCTTGGAGTGTTGCCATCAAGACTATAGAGGCAAACCTTCTTTATGGCTAACTTCTTTCTCTGGAACAGAATTCCCATGATGATGATAGAATTTCAGAATGCCATTAAGACTTGTTTTTTAAAGAGATGATTTTAGGAATTATCTGTGTGGGTCCTTCCTGGAGAAGAGAGGTTGGAGTGGTGGCAATAGTTTTGTGCTAACATTGCCTTATATTGAACATATTTTTTAGAAATGTATTCTGATGTTGCGATTTATTTTTTTGAAAACATCAGCCTATATGCCTCTCTGCCTTCATTTGAAGCTGAAACTGTATGGTAACTTGGAGTTGTTGGGAGTAGAGAGGCATGTAAATCTCGGTAGCAAATAAAATATCAGTGTTCTCAGATTAGTAGTGATGCCTCATCAGATTCTGCTTTGATTCATTTTACAGGAATCTTATTTCAAAATATCCACATCAATTTGTTCCAGTTTGAGATTCAGCCACATACAAAACACAGATAGATGGAGAAGAATTCTATCGGGAGCTTTGAACACAGAAACTGCATTGCTCTTCAGGAGCTAATATGTGGCTCATACTGGCTAGCAACCTGGTAGCTACAGTGTGTGACTAATCCACTGTGCAAAGACAACTTTAATGTGAGGGGAAAAATAAGAGGAAACAAGACCAGGAGAGAGCTGATCAATGCCTTGATTATTATTACCTCTCCTCTATGAGGAGAAAGGAAGTGTATGTATACCTTAATAGGTTGCCTATCACCAATTTGTGATCTTTTAGTGATACTTATTAGGGACAGGAATAAAGGTGTAAGATTGGTCTCTTGTCAATGCTTCCCATTGCTCCTCATCTCACCTTCAAAGTAGCACTTTTAATGAATTACTAGGCTGTGAATTCAAGAAGAAAATGTGCTTAGAGATATTGGAGCTCTGTCACAGAGGAGTCATGAAAAGTGAAGAAGCAGATCCTAGTCCAGTCAAATTGTAATATTCCCTGAAAATGAAAAATCAGGCATACAGGTTGTCCTCAACTTACAACCACTCATTTAGCAACCATTTAAAATCACAATGGCCCTGTAAAAAGTGACTTACGACCAGTCCTCACACTTTTGACTCATTCCATGGTCACATGATCAAAATAGGAATAGCACTTAGACTTATACGGTGCTTTATAGACCTCTCTAAGCGGTTTACAGAGTCAGTGTCAACTCGTAAAGCATTTCAGGCTTGCTCTTGAGTTGCCATAGGCAGGAGCGGGGAGAACTGACGGAGCAGCTTGGCTGCCATGACCAAAAGCACATTCCATGCATATCTTTCTCCAGATTGTATCCCAGGTTACCAGAGCCAGCCGGAGAGGTGTGTTTTCTACAGCCCACAAAAGTGCTCCGTTGGAGAATGTGATTTATGACACACCCAGGGAGGAGGGGGGAAACAGGGTCATAGTGGGGCCATACATTATGTGGGGCAGAGCTGACTCCATTTGGATACTTGCTGACATGTTGCTCCTAATAAATAACTGGATTTCTTTTGAAACTTGGCTCGAGGCTCATGAATTAATTAGGGCATCCGTTGGAACCCTGACAGCAAGCATATTGCCCCCAACCATCGGGGTCCTCATTTTACCAACCTCGGAAGGCTGGAAGGCTGAGCCAACCTTGACCTAATGAGATCTGAACTGCCAAATTGCTGGCAGCTGGTGATCAGCAGAAGTAGCCTGCAGTACTGTCTTCTAACCGCTGTGCCACTGCAGCTCTTGCGCTCCCACACCAGTATGTGTTTACAATGGTTGCAGCATCCCAGAGTGATGTGATCACCATTTCTCATCTTCCCAGATGACTTCTGACAAGCAAAACCAATGGGGGGGGGAGAGGGGAGAAGAGCCAGATTCACTTAACAACCATGTGATTCACTTAACAATTGCAGTGCTTCATTTAACCATGGCAAAAAAAAAAGTTGCAAAATCGGGTGTGATTCACGTAACAGTCACTTTGCTTAGCAAGAGAAATTCTGATCCCAGTTGCAGCCATAAGTCTTGGTAGTACAGTGGTTTAAAACACCCTGTTATTAAGACCAGCTGCCTGCAATTACTGCAGGTTCGAATCTCGCCAAGGCTCAAGGTTGACTCAGCCTTCCATCCTTTCTAAGGTAGGTAAATTGAGGACCCAGTTGTGGGGGCAATAAGCTGACTTCGTATAAAAATATATACAAAAGGATGAAGGCTATTGCTTAACGCATTGTAAGCCGCCCTGAGTCTCCGGAGAAGGGCGGCATATAAATCAAATTAAAAAAATAAATAAATAAGTCGAGGACTACCCATAGTTGAAATCTTGTGAATAGTCAAAATGAGGTGGCTTTAGTCCTCTTCCTCCTCCTCCTCCTTTCCACATGAATTGTTTGTAAATATGTTAGGGAGGGCAAGGTCTTTTCTTCTTGGGAGGGAAGCTTAGGAGAAGACAAAATAAGGCACCAGGATTTAGAACTCAATCAAAGAAGGAGAAATCAGTGCATCTTGCCTGAGTTCAAACAGCAACTTCATTCGTTTTAATTTTGGGGGATGATAAACACAAAACAAGGCAAGACAAAAAAATGGGATAGAGACAGAAAAAAAAAAACAAGGAAGGAAACAAGAAGAACAAGAGAAAAAGTCACATTTCGAGCTGATTGCAAGCAATCCAATTGGAAGCTCAACTTGCTGACGCCAGGTAGAAAAAGCTCACAAAGATTTGAAGCATCAATTACTTGCTTTTCAACATTTACCAGGATGTAAGACTGTTTTATGTGGATGAATAGCTTGTTCACCTTGAAGCAGGCTGGAATTTAATTAATGTATTCAGGGTGTACAACTGTACCGAATGATCACCGGATAATCCATAAAACATAAATTGACAGGCAAAAGAAACTTCTTAAGAATTTCGGTGGACTGGCGTCTGAGAGGTTCTTTTGTTAACTCCCTACATGCTCCTTTTGGTTTAGGCTTAGAGGCAGGCATTGCTTTAACTCAAATTGCTATTATTTGCTCCGTTGGATATACAGTAGCCCTTTAGGCGGTATGTGTGCTGGGGAAGGAAAAAGGAACAGAATGGATAAATGTATAAAATTTGCCCCTCTACAGACTCTCTTTCCGGCTTTAAAATAAAGTTTAAGTATGGGTGACTTTTATGAACAATATGACTGGGGGGGCAATATCTATATCTGAAACACAGAACATGGGATCTGGCATTTTATGCTATCTTGCAAGCATGAAGGCTGGAGATATCCCCATTGTCAATGTCTGTAAGACTAGAAACCATTTGCTGCTTTGTTCCGTGATTCTGGGACATCTCATTCCGTGCCTGCAAGGTATTGTGCCATTCGACTTCTCTGTCAGAAGTAGTGTGCCAGTTTGAATGCCAGTTGTGAAGACACTATTGTGTTTTTGTTCTACTGATAGCTTCCCAAGCATTGGCTTGGAAGAACTTCCTGTTTCTTCATGCATGGTGCTTCTTATGTTTTGAGGAGCAGAATGGAGTCAGTAGCAGTCAGTCCTGAGGGTATAAAGTAAAGGTAAAGGTTCCTCTCGCACCTATGTGCTATTCGTTCCCGACTCTAGGGGGCAGTGCTCATTTCCGTTTCTAAGCTGAGGAGCCAGCGCTGTCCAAAGATGTTTCCGTGGTCATGTGGCTGGCATGACTAAATGCCAACGGTGCACAGAACACTGTTACCTTCCCACCAAAGGTGGTCTCTATTTTTTCTATTTGCATTTTTTACATGCTTTCGAACTGCTAGGTTGGCAGAAGCTGGGACAAGTAACGGAAGCTCACCTCGTTATGAGGCACTAGAGATTCAAATCGCTTGACTGCCGACCTTTTGATCAACAAGCTCAGCATCTTAGTCACTGAGCCACCACGTCCCTTTTCCTGAGGGTATAGCAGACTCATAAAACAATTATTACCAGAGACTCATCAGACAAATATTCTCCTCTGGCTTTAAACTTCAATACAGACTGTTTCCTTGAGCCTTATTAATTTCTTCCATAAGCACCAATCATCTCTGGATTCTTCCTGGAAAAGAAAAATGACAGGAGGTCATTTGGCCTCTTCAAAAGCCTTGGTTACTGGCCTCCAAAGTCATTGATTTTAATTTTTTTGGGGGGGGAAATACAGCAACTTCTCTTGAGATCTCAAGTTGCTTTTTCAAAAGGCGACTGGACTGTTCTTCCTTGACGAAGATGAAGATGTTTTGCTTCTCATCTAAGAAGCTTCATTAGTTCTGGAGATCATTGGTTCTGGAGATTTGCATCTCCTGCTTCTGATCCTCCAACTACTTTACCTGAAATCCAGAGAGCAAACTTAATGTGTTTTGGTTTCTTAAATGGAAGCTGAAAATATGTCTTTTTGGTTTAGATTTTTTAACTCAGTTGATTTTATGCTATAGTCTTTAGGTGTGTAATCTATAAATTAGCCTCATGATACTTGGTGATTAATTCCTTGAATGAACTGATCTTTCAGATGCAATGAAGGCTGTTAAACACAAATGTCATATTGTTAGCTAGATAAGGAGGTTCCTTAACCCCACCTGTAACCAGGGAAGTGCTTTTCCTTCAAAGAATCGCTGGTACTGATTACATTATTTTGAGCTGGAGGCTTCTGTATAAATCTCTTCAGGTATCTCTTTCAATCAAGGACAAGCAACATCTGTTGTTGTTGTGGAAGGCTCCATTTCTTTGTTGGAAACCACCTATCAGTTGATGGGTAGTTTGAAGCTTAAATTGGTCACGACCACTTACTATCTCTTTACCCACTTACCCATTCTAGCTCTGCTGAGAAGCTGCACATTTTCTAAACATGAGTGGGTTCCCCCCCCCAAAATAGGATATCAACACATCCTATAAATCTCCGTTAATTTTTTGCATGGTTTTAGCAAAGTACCTGTTTAATGAAAAATATACTGTGGTGCTTTTCAGTCTCAATTAAACAATGCAATTAGCCTTTATCAGGTAGGGGGCCTAACTGTATTTTATCCAAATAATTTAAAAAGGGAGAATCTAACATAAAAAAAAAAGGAAAAACATCTCAGTCTGTCTATTTGCTCAATTTCTCTACTCAACTAGTTCCTAGTTGAGGGTTGTTCCTCTGTCCTGGTCCTATTAGCTCTCTCAGCGGCTTTTGATACCATCAACCATGGAATCATGCTGCGCCAGTTGGAGGGGTTAGGGATGGAGGGCACCGTGTTGCGGTGGTTCTCCTCCTTCCTCTCTGACCGGTCGCAGTTTGTGTTGACGGGGGGCCAGAGGTCGACCTCAAGGCGCCTTGTATGTGGGGTGCCACAGGGGTCGGTCCTCTCGCCCCTTTTGTTCAACATTTATGTGAAGCCGCTGAGTGAGATCATCCGTGGTTTCGGGGTGAAGTTTCATCACTACACTGATGACACTCAGCTATACATCTCCACCCCAGACCACCCCAATGATGCTCTTGATGTGATGTCCCGGTGTCTGGAGGCTGTGTGGATCTGGATGGGGAGAAACAGGCTCAAGCTCAACCCATCCAAGACCAAGTGGCTGTGGCTCCCGGCGTCCCGATATAGTCAGTTGATGCCATCTCTGACTATTGGGGGCGAGTCATTGGCCCCCACGGAGAGAGCTTGCAACTTGGCTGTCCTTAGAAGAACATGTGATGGCCGTGGCCAGGGGGGCTTTCTATCAGGTTCACCAGTTGCGTCCCTTTCTGGATCAGGACTCCTTGCGCATGGTCACTCATGCCCTCGTCACTTCCCACCTGGACTACTGTAATGCTCTCTACATGGGGCTCCCCTTGAAGAGCACCCGGAGGCTCCAACTGGTCCA